TCTGAATTATATAGAAATGAACACTATATAGCTCATGTTAAAGAACTGGAAAGGGTAGGAACCATATTGGTTACGATATAGAGAAAAGTAGTAAATAATTCTTATAGAGTTGCGAACTCGCCTCATTTATATTTTTTTTACAGAATAGAAAAATCAACCTCCAAACCAGATTCAGATCACGCAGGAACCGGACACTTAAAACATGAAAATTGCTAATGATCACTAGTTAGAGTTAAGACTAATTTACGCATGTTAAAGATTACTTTTATTCATTTTGATGTATTTCTTAATTTCCTATGAGCTTATGAATAAATTTTGAAATTTAAGAAAAATGACATTTTGTGAATAAAGATAAATATGCATGATGGAATTTTGTAGAATGCTTTGATATGGGTTGATCCCTTGTTCTATATAGAGATTGGGAACATTATAGATGATATGAAAATTTAGTAAATTCGAGAAAACATACGAAATACTAGGTGTACGATTTGTGTTGATTCAAGTTGACCCCCTTATTTCCTACTAAGAAATTGGGAATGTCACATAAACCCCCAGTATTTCTATTCAGTCCGCATATTTTTCTTCCCAACCTTCACAATTACGACCAATATTTATCCACCGCCCATCATCTGCTCTATCTTACTTCAATATTTAATTCGCATAATATTTCACCTCATCAAATTAGTTTTTACGCAATATACAACATGAATCTCACAAACACCACATTTCACAATATAAGACATTTATTCACATTTATTATGAATCTAGGTTTTCAAGAGCAAATTGACCTTACCTCTTTATTCCCGAGTGGTGGCTATGGTGCGTCGGTGAGTCTCTCGTCGTTCGCCCTTTGGTTGGCATTGGAAATGACAATTTCCTTTTCTTTCTTTGATCAACCACCAACAATTCGAGTTCTTCTTCCTCTCCTCTCTCTTCCTCTACTGCTCTCTATTGCGGCTAGGGTTTCCTCTCTTTTCTCCTTCAAATGGTTGAGAAGAGAAAGCTTTTATAGGGGTTTTCGGAACCGTTTGATGTCAAGAACAAATTTGGACTGTTGGCTCCCTTGTTTCTTTCTAAATTCCTAGATTTTCCTTCTTTTTTTAAAATCTTTACCAACTAACCCTTACTTTATTTCCCTATTGCCCCTCTTCTTCCAAAACCTTTGCGATTAGATCCTTTCTCTCAATATTTTGCAATATTTAAAAAAATTGTTTCTACTGAATTTTTACAAAACTACCCCTAGGGTTCACAATTGGATCTTTGGAATGTTACATACAGAGACTATTTTAATAAAAAAATTAAGACAAACTAATTTGAAAATAAAATTAATAATATAATAATCAAATTATTTTTTTAATTTTTTTTAATTTACATTTACGAAAAGAGATGAAAAAATTAATTAAAGAAAATTTAAGTTATATTTATATATTTTATCAATTACATGGTAAATATATAAGAACAATATCATAATTAATAATAACATAACTTGTTAATAAAATATTAAAAACTTAGCAAAAAAATAATTGATAATTTGATATATTAAGTAAAAAAAAATATTTAATATTATTTCTAAGAAAAATCCAATATTTTTTAATTAAGAAATGTAAAACTATAAATATATTTCATATAATTTTGATATATTTATTTCTTTCTCGTATGCGAATCTTGACTGCCAAGCAAATTGCTTTTCTAATATTTTTACCATTCACCAATTGGTTAAAAAAGAGAGATTTGTGATAAGACTGAGAAAATGAAATTTTAATTTTATGTTTTTTTTAATAAAAAAATCAGTTTTTTTTAACAATTAATTTCCTATTCACTTTATTTGCAAATGAAACAAAATGTTAGTAGTAAAAAAATGCCTAACTTATAAAAAAATCAATTTATTTTTTGTAGTTGTAATACTCGGACTCGAAAATCGGTTCAAGATAATTTTTCTAATTAATTTATTTATAAAATAATTATTTAATTTATTATATTTAAGTTTTTATTGAATTTTTGAGAAAAATAAATTAAAGACGAAAATTAAAGACAATTTTGGAGAAAAGTGGTGAAATTTTGAATTCATGGGGTGTTTTTAAAAGAAAAATTGAAAACAATGGTCAAAATACAAATAAAAGAAATTCGGCAACATGGAACAGCCCAATCAGCAACCACGGTGAACCAGGGCACGCTGACGTCGATGCCACATGGGGGGCTACGCGGGCGATCTACAAATAAAAGAAATTCGGCAACATGGGATAGCCCAATCAGCAACCACGGTGAACCAGGGCATGCTGACGTCGATGCCACGTGGGGGGCTATGCGGGCGATCTGCGTGCCTAGCAATCCGACAGTCTAGGATTGATCCCACACATGTGGATGCTCTAGATGCATTCCCCTTTGAAGCTTGATCGGATGGACGAGATCAAATGCGATGAATGAACGAGATTCGGCCACGCCATAAGCCTAAACGAAAAACGATTGAACAATTCTCATCGCTCCACATCAACGTAAACAAACGACACAGATTGAAGAGGAGATGAGTATTTACAATCCTATTCGCAGGAGAACCCAAACCCTAGCCGCTAGCCACTTTCGGAGAAGAAGAGCCAGACGCTTTAGAAAAAGGTCGACTTCGGACCGCCACCGCACCGGAACAACCACTAATTGTCAAAAAATGTAAAATTTCTCCATACCCGTTCGGAATTCAATTCTGAGCCTCTCTGTGCCATATTGGAGCAAAAGGGACGGCAGGTGAGCCGAAAATTACGGGCAGAGCCGCTGCAGCTAAAACTCTAAAATTCCTCTGATGAGCCCCTTCCCGTTTTCCGTTTTCCGTTTCACGCGATCCTTTGACCATTGTGTTCGCCATTCCATTATATACAGGTTAGCTAGAGAAGAATCCCCACCTGCGAAGGAGAACTGGTGGAGCCACCGCACCCGGGGATCCCCGCCAGTAGTTCAATTTTTCAATTTTCTAGCCAACTAAGGCTTCTTAATGTACTTTTTGCAGGAATACGTGTAAAACTTGCCAAAATCGGTCAAAACTGGCAAAATCTGCAAGCCAAGGTGAACCGCTGCCGTGGGCAGCGGAGCCAGCGTTGGAGCACGGCGACATTGTCGTGCCAGAAACCTAAAATTGTTTGGAAAGAGTTTTCAACACCGATTTTGGATTTTTTGAGTATTTTTATGTATGTGACAAGTATTTTGGGTTCCCGCAGAAAAAATTCAAGAAACTCAGAAACCGTTAGGAGGCGTAATAGACAGTTCGACATTTCGAAACACTGATCCGGATAAGGATCACTCATCCTATTCTCGGTTACGGTAAATTAAAGATTAATAATCAATAATTATATTTTTTATAAAAAATTAGAAAAATTCTAAAAATATTACAGGTCACTAGTGGAGCTGGAACCGGTTAGTTCACATTTGTCCTGATTTCTTGTTTATTTTCCTATACTGCTTAAACTACTTACTATTATACTGTGCATATTTACATTGATAGTTTTTATACTCTTCTCGATTATCTGGGTTATTTGGTCCATTCCAGCATGATTTATCTGGTTATCTGGTTACTCGGTTATTAATTATGATAAATTAAATCGCTTGCTTAAATACCGTTTAAATTGATCAGTAAATATAACATGAGACGTTGGTCTACTTTTGTGGCTGTTTGGAGAATTAAAATAAACTAAAGCTTACTGGGCATCCTGAGAAAGGGTGGATGGACTCGGTACATAGAGAACCCTACCGTGGACATTATCTCAGTCAGACAGGGCTGAGAGGTCCCAAATTGTAAGGGTTTTAAGAGATTTTCTTCACCATTATACCAGACGGGGTATCGAGGTGATGGTGTTTTTGGTGCCTATTATTGGACGAGGTATGGGGACGACCAAATTAATTGTCAATTCTTGATCCTAGATCCACGAGTGAAGGGATATCCCTATTGACCCCCAGGAGTCCCAGTAAATAGGTTAAAAATGAAGAATTGTGATCCCATGAATAAAATTAAAATGTCATTTAGTTATTTGTCTTCATAGGTTGATTTTAGAAAAATCATAAAAGTAACTATCAAATAAAAAATTTTAAAATTAAATGTACTTACATAAAGTAAGGGCTCCATTAGTTATTTTATGATTTTTATCAACTTTCAGTTTTTTCGTATTTGTTATTAGTGTTATATTCTTATTAGGCTAGTGTAGCTCACCCTTTTATTAACCATTTTAGATCAAGAAGAGCAAGATCCATATCCCAATCAGCAAAAGAGTTGTGAGTAGTTCACCTCTCATACTCCCTTCAAGTGCTAGTGAATGTTGTCCTAAAATACTTATTTATTCACGTTTTTTTTAATTACTGTTTGTCTTTTAAAAGAGACATTCTGTAGTCCTATTGAGAAATCTAAATTATTATTTAAGGAATGTAAACCCTAACTTTATTATTTACTTCCGTATTTAAATTATAAATTCATTTTTATTTAAGTTTTTAGCTTTTACAGTTAGTATTAGAGCCGCATTCCTCGGAACCATTCCTTATACAAAGACCTAAAAATACTAAATACAAACTATCACTCAATCATTTCTTGTGAAATGTAGGTACAAGGGTATGAGGAGATAAAGACCCCCACTAAACCGAGCAGTCCGGGATGGTTCGCTTCGAGAAGATATTGACTAACTCTTTGAGATGTTGGAGAGACTCATCTCTACCCAGCAGACCCAAGAAGAAAGGAGGGAACAACCTGACCTTCCCTCGCTGCCATAATTTGAGCCACCCTTGCAGCGAGAATATCCAGAGCCACCCCAGTACAACCTAGCTCCTCTACCGTATCATCCGGCACCGCCACAATATAATCTAGTACCCCCACTGTATCATCTGGCACAGCCATAAGACCGCTCAATCTCTCTACAACACAATTTAGTCCTTCTTCCACGGGACCTAGTTCCACTCATGATGGACCCAGATTATATTGAGAGGTACAAAAGACTAAATACATCTAACTTTGTAGGGGCATCCTCTTTCGAAGAGGTCAAGTATTTGTTAGTTGAGATAGAGAGTCGTACTTGCCACCTACATGCTCATGAGAGAGCCAGGTCGCTGGTGGCAGCTCAAACAGGCCACCCTGCCCATTCTACTCACTTGAGAATAGTTCCTGATGATCTTTAATGCAGAGTACCTTCTAGAGCACTTCTGGCATTTGAAGAAAATAGAGTTTGCACACTTAGTTCAGAGTGATATGACTGTGTCGGAGTATGCCCAAAGGTTCCTAGAGTTCTGCCAGTATTCCCCTGAGAGCATGATGGATGAAGGCAGGAAAACAAGGAAGTTCGAATTGGGCCTCAGTCTTGAGATCAGACAGTAACTATATGTATTTTAGCTCAGTACCTACTCAGCCATTCTGGCCAAGGCACAACTAATGGAGAGGAACCTTCGTATCTTTTCTCTAATAGTGGAAAATCCCAGACCCTTGGTCTCACACCGCAGACCAACACCTACTATACCGGTTCAGTAGAATAAGAGGCCTAGGGCAGTGACTCAGGCTCCTCTTCAGGGTCCGGTAACAGGACGCGGTAAGACTTGTCAGCACTGTGACAAGGATCATGGGGACCGACCCTATTATCATCTCAACAATACATGCTGCATATGTGGAAGTGCCCAATACTATGCAAGAGAGTTCTCGCGAAATCAGAATCAGGCCAGACCTCCTATTCAAGGCAGAGCTTATAACCTCACTCAGTAGGATGCTGAAGCTAACCCAAACGTGATATAGGGTACATACACTATTTGTAATCACCTTACACATATTTTGATTAATATCAGTGCTTCATATTTGTTTATCTCACATGCTTTTACACCAAACTTGAACGTATTACCTAAAAAACTTAATTATGTGTTATTGTATCTATTCCTAGGAGTATGACACTACTAAAAGAGGTTATATACAAATCTTGTCTCATAAACATAGCAGATAGCAAATTGAGTATGGACTTAATAGATATTG